TGTCTAAGAAAAAGAAGGGTTTGCTGTCCCAGTTCTTTGGAGAAGGCAGCTATAAATTCTTAGATGGCAAGTTAATCTCCAAAGATCCCAATAAACCTGCCTGGGCTGGATGGGACAGAGAGGTTCCCACACCCCAGCTAGAACCAGAACAGCTTTCTAGGAGCTTTCAGCTGAAAAGATCTGCAATGAAGAAGGCACAGGGAGGTTTCCTATTCAGATAATTCTTGTGCTTGCATTTCCCAGGACAAGGAAGCAAGACCAGAGTCGTGCTGGGAGCAGAGTCTGACACCCAGTTTTTAGTAATAACCTAAAAGGACAGCAGAGAAAGGCAAGAGAGCAAGGCTTGGAGACAGAAGTGAGTCCTCCAGAAGGAAATATTCCCTCACATCCCAACAGGGAGCATCTTTCCATGTTCCCAAAGCATGTAGAAAATGATTTTGTGGAACTTGCTCATAGGAAATCCAAGGCCTGGGAATCCAAGTTTATCTTGTTCTGGATAAACTTGCTAAGATAAGAGGAGGTTGCTGGAGGTGAAAAGGAAAAAAGCGCCGAAGTTGAAGAGAGAAAAAACTGCTGAGTTGAGTGTGCCCTTTGCCAGGCAGGGGGAAGGGCAGGAGTGGGATCTGCACCCTGCAAAGGCACTTTGGCAGAGCTACTCCTTAAAAAATAAGATTCTGTCCTACTCATACCTCGCCAACCCCTGGAATTAAAGGCCTGGGCTGTCCCAAAAATCACTCACTGTCAACACACCCCCCAGATTTCAAGATCCAGCTGAACTCCACTCATAGCACGACCTGAAGGAATTCTCACAAGCACCACCAGAAATTAAATGTCTCCCAAATTTTGCAGCTGACTGGGATATAAGGGGGAAAAAAAAAAACCAAAACCCTTCCTTCTTCTGCTGAGAGCAGCCAGTCTGACAGTGCCTCACCAAGGGCTGCAGTCCTAAAAACTCTTCCCAAGAGCCTCCAAGGCCCAGGAGGTGCCAGTTGCTCCAGTTCCCTCCTTGACTTTCCCTCTTACCCCAGTCACTGAGGGGTGCTCAATACCAACCAAGTCTTTTCCACAGCCCAGTGAAACCTGGGAGAGGTTTATCATCCCAAATTTCACGTCCAATTCCCCTGCCAATAAATGCCTGTGGAGAGGGGCCAGCCCTATTTGCAGCTCTCTGACTCCCTGGAGGGCTGAACCAGCCAGTCCAGCAGCACATTGATGGCTTTGGGGGGTTGAACTTGCACCTCTGGGGTGGTTTTATGGATAAAAAACTGGCAGGGCAGAACAGCCCTGGACAGGTATTTTTGCTCTGGTGACAAGGGCAGAGCCACAGGCTGTGGCCACTCTGTGCAAGCAGCATTGCCCTCTGCTGGGGGCTTTTTGGCCCAGGACAGGGGCTCCCCAAGCCCCTTTGTCCCAGCAAAGCTTTCCCAAATCCCCCTGAGCTCACTGGCCTTCCCTGGCACTCAGGGAACCTCAGGGCTGCAGCTCAAAGGGTGACAGGAGCACAGAAAATGAGGAGCCAACACATATTTCCATAGCCCCAGGGAACAAGGAGCAACCCCCAAGGGTGCCATGGCCTAAAAAAGCTGTTTCTTGAGCAGAGTTTTGCCCCCAGCAGAGGAAAATTCAGCAGCATTATCTAAGCAAGCTCCCCAGGTCAGCTGAGGCCACGAGAAGGCATCAAAAACCTCTATACAAGCCCTGCACTTTCTGCCCCAGGACCCATTCCCCTGTATTTTCCACTTGTTCATTCTCCTCATCACTCCAACATCACAAGTGAGATGCTGGGATCCATGCAGGAGGAGGCTGAAATCCTAAAAACTGAGCTCTGGCCCCAAACTGAAGTGTTTCTGTGGCTCTGTGTGTTAATGATGGTAGCTGAGCACTCAGCACTTGGATCTGAGTTACAGCTGAGTTCACTCACAATTCTCTCAATATATGCATTTTAGGCATATTATTTTATATTTAGGTAAGAGTAGTAATATTTAGGTAATTAACTAAATTATTTATTTAACTAATTAACTAAATTAGTCATTGAACTGAAAGGTTAAAAAACCAGAATTAAAGAAACGCATAAAAACCCAAGGGCCGGATGGAATCGCTCCCTGCAGAAAAGTTCCACGAGCATTTATCACTTAAAACCCACTGCTGGTGAACCTGATTTCTCCCCCAGCTGGCTGAAACATTGACCTGTGTGAGAAAAATAATTGCCAAGGCCACCCTTGGAGTGACTCACGTGTATCTGTGGCACAGGGACTCGATGCAGATCAACACCCGGACGTTGTCCCTGGCTCGGAGCTGCACTTTGCTCTTCAGCTCACTGTGGTCTGGGGGAAAAACAGAAGCATTTTCAGAACATAAAAGGCCACCAGGTGGTAGTTTTGGGCTTCAGAGAGGCACCAGTAGCCTCGTGGTTTCTGCACTGGGTTTGGGGGTGGGGGTTACCGGGTGGGTTCTGGGAGAAGCTGCCAGAAAGTTCCCCCCTGTGTGATGGAGCCAGTGCCAACCAGCTCCAGGGTGGATCCACCACTGGATCAAGTCTGAGCCCATCAGTGATGGTAGCAGAACCTCTGGGATAACAGATTTAAGGGGTGAAAAAGTGCAATTGGAAGCAAAGAGAGGATGGAGAACACGTGGGAGAAGAGATGCTCCGGGTGCTCCAGGGGAGCAGTGACAAAACCCAGTCCAACCTGCCTTCGTGGAGTTCTACATCATCATCATCTTCATCTCTCCCAAAGTCTTTTGTGGGAGCCACGATTCCTGCACATATTTGGTCCCTGAGCTGGTGCTCCCTAAGGAATGTTGGTTGGTGTGGTGTGCAGGGAGCAGCCCTGCTGTGGTACCGGCACCCAGCCTAAGGCATGGCACCAAAGGGACATGGCACCAAAGGGACATGGCACCAAAGGGACATGGCCAGGCTTCTCCCTGGATGCAGGGAGCCCTCCAGGACTCCTCCCTGCGTGGCAGAGGTTCCTGTGGACAGCACTCACCCACGTGGATGTTGGCTGAGAACTGGTAGATGCCTGAGACGGGCGCCGTGAACCGTCCCGTGGCCAAGTTCAGCCCTGTCCCTCGCAGGAAAGCTCCTTTGGCCAGAGGCTGCAAGAGGACAAAAGCAGAGCCTGAATGAGCCTCCACAACCCTCAGCAAAGAACCAGCCAACCTGCAGGAGAAAAAACTTGGAAAAATTTGCTTGATTCCCCCAGAAAACACATTCCAGAGGGGCTCTCTCGGCCTCCGGTGCCCACAAAAGGCAAAATTATCAGTGTAAGACACAGAGATGCCCCTTTTCCCACTGCTGAATTCTTCCAACTCAGCTTGACTAGACTGCTTGTTGTATTCCTGTGCTGGTCCTTACTGCATCCCTGTTCTGGTCCTTATTCCA